GTCACTGATATTGAACAGCTTGGCTCAGGGAGATGCAAGTTCTGGAGCACAAGTTTTCAGTACTATTGCCAGAATGTTGTCAGGGCACGTAGCCTTGTGGCCTCACAATGCCCTGTATAATTGCAGCAAGACATCCTTGTTCCTGTCCTCAAATACTTTGGCTAGGAAGGCCAATATACAGTTCACCTTTACAGCCTGCCGCACTTGTGCACTTTGAGCAACTGGTGCATGACAATACTTAGGTCTCATTGAACATTACCCTCTCTCAATTTACAGCCTTCCAAATGATAATCTGCCTTCGAGTTTTTGCTACCAAAGTGGGTAACCTCATTTTATTCACATGATTCTGCATGAGCCATGCATTTGCCTGCTTAAGACAGTCTGTCCAAATCACACTGCAATATCTCTGCATCCTCCTCACAGCTCACCCTTCCACCCAGTTTTGTGTCATCTGAAAATTTTGAGACATTGGATTTAGCTCTCTAATCTAAATCATTAACATACATTGTGAACAGTTGAGGTCCAGTACAAATCCCTGCAGTATCCCACTAGTCACTGCCTGCCATTCCTGGGCTGCTTACCAATTTTCTACCCATCTCAATACACTATCCCCAAATCCAGGAGCTTTAATTTTACACATTAATGTCTTATGTGGAACTTTTGTTAAAAACCTTCCGAAAGTCCAAATAGACCACGACCACTGAGTCTCCAATCAACTTGATGAATTCCAGTAGATTTGTCAAGGATGATTTCCCTCTTGTAAATCCATATTAACTGTGTCTGATTCTGCCATTACTTTCTAAGTGCTCCACTATAGTGCTCTGATAATGGACTCTAGCATCTTACCCACTACTGATGACAGATTCACTGGTCTATAATTCCATGTTTTCTGTCTACCTGTTTTTAAACAGTGGGTTTATTAATGAAACTGATTAGTAGCCAATCAGTAGGAACTGTTTAAGAGTCCAAAGAATCTTGGAGGATGACCACCAATGCATCCACTATATACACAGCCACATCCTTGAGTATTCTGGGATGTAAATTATGAGGCTCTGGGGATTTATTAGGCTTCAATCCCATGAATTTCTCCAACACCATTTTTCTACTAATATCGATTTCCGTCAATTCCTCCCTCCCAATAAATCCTGTGTTCCCCATCACTTCTGGGATGTTGTTTGTGTCCTCCTTTGTGAAGACAGAAGTGAAGTATGAATTTAGTCTGTCAGCCATTTCTTTGTTTTCAATTATGAATTCCCCCGTTTCTGATTGTACAGAACCTACATTAGTTTTCACTGACCTTTTTCTCTTTACACACCTGTGGAAACTTTTATTCAGTTAACTTCTACAGTCCCTGATCAAATCTTGCCACTCCAAGTGGAAATTAGTTCTCTCCAATAGTTTCCCTATCACTAATGAGAGACTCTCTGGTCTATAATTCCTCGGTTTATCTCAATCACCATTCTTAAAAAATTGAACCACCTTACTATTCTCTAGTCCTCTGGAACCTCCACTGCAGTTAGAAATGAATTAAAAATTTGGATCAGGACTCTGGTGATTTCCTCTCTCATCACCCACTGCAGCCTGTGGGATACAACTCATCCAGACCTACGGATTTATCCACTCTTAAACCTGCCAAGACCTCCAACACCTCCTCACTCTCATTACCAATCTGCTCAAGAACCTCATAGCCCATTTTCCTGAACTGTGTTCATACATCCCCCATTTACTGAGTGAAGCCGGATGTGAAGTACTGGTTTAATACTCTAACAGAGTCCTCTGGCTCCACACACAGATTTTCCCCTTGTTCCCTTATGGGTCCAACTCTTTCTCTGGTTATTCCCTTCCCCTAGATTCTCTCCAATCCTGTCCGCCAGTAGTTTTTCATGCCCCTCTATGCTCTCTTAATTGCTTTCTTGAGTTCCCCTCCTGAGCATTCCATAGTCCACTAGAACACAGAATAGTACAGCAACGAATGGGCTCTTCAGCCCACGATGTTGTAGCGAACATGATGTTAAATTAAATTTTCTGTTTGCCCCTGGTCCATATCCTTCCATTCCTTGCATATTCATGTGCTTACCTAAAAGCCCCTTAAACACCCCTGTCATATCTGCCTCCTCTACCACCCCTGGCAGCAGGTTGAAGGCACTTACTATTCTGTGTAAACAACTTGCCCCTCACATGTCCTTTGAACTTGCCTGCTCTCACCTTAAATGCATGCCTCCTAGTATTAGACATTTCAACTCTGGGAACAAGATTCTGACTGTCACACTATCTATGCCCCTCATAATTTTATAGACTTCTATCAAGTTTCCTCTCAGCCTCTGCTGCTCCAGAGAAAACAACCCTAGTTTTTGTGGCATCTCCTTATTGCTCATACTCTCTGATCCAGGCAGTATCCTGGTATCCTCTCCAAAGCTTCTACATCCTTCCTGTAATGTGGTGACCAGAATTAAATGCTATGCTCTAAATGTGGCCTAACTAAAGTCTTATAAAGCTGCAACATGACATCCTGATGTTTGTACTCATTGCCCTGACCAAAAAAGGCAAGCACGCCACATGCCTCCTTTACCACCTTATCTACCGGTGTGGCCACTTTCAGGGAGCTATGTACTTGAACCCCAAGATTCTTCTGTACAACAATGCTGTTCAGAGTCCTGACACTTTCTCCCTTCGTACTTGATATACACCTCGCTTTTCCTTTTTAACCAATTCTGAATATTCCTAGACATCCAGGATTCTCTTGGCGTTTTGTTCCTACTTTCCACCCTAAAGGGAAAGTGTTGGGCTTGCACTCTCCCCAATTCCTTTTTGAATACCTCCCACTGTTCTACTGTAGATTTACCCTCAAGTAGCTGTTCCCAGTCTGCTTTGGTCAGATCTTGCCTTATTTAAATAAAATCTGCCTTCGCTCAATCTGAAATTTGTATTTTGCTGACATCTATTTCCTTCTCTATAACAAGCTTAAATCGTAGAGTGTGCAGTCACTATCACTAAAGTACTCTCCCACTGTTAGCTTTACCACCTGTCCAGCTTCATATACCAAAATTAGGTCCTGAACTGTCTCTTGTTGGACCTTCTCCATCTTGACATAAAACATGCTCCTTAATAAATTTCAACATTACCACTCTAAACCCCTTTATATTATGACTATTCCAATTACTGTTGGAAAGTTGAAATCCCTAATATAATTACCCTATTATGATGCTTACATACCAAAGTGAGTTGTCTATCTATCTGCTCCTCTATTGCCTGCTGATAATTTGGGGCCTTTAATACACTTGCAGCAATGCTACCCTCTTTTTACTCCTAAGCTGTAATGGCAAAGCCTCATTGGCAGACCTTTCCAAGATATCATCCCTCCTTACTGCAGTAACTGACTCCTTAATCAATAATGCAATACCACCTTTTCCTTTACACCCTGTTCTGTCTCACCTGAAGATCCTATATCACGGAATGTTGAGTTGTCAGTCCTGCCTCTCCCGCAACCACATCAATATCACAATTCAATGTGTCAATTCAACCTTGACTCATCTCCCTTACCTATAATATGCCGAGCATTGAAGTAGAGCCCATCTACCCTTGCCTTTCTCTCTTGAAATTCAACATGACTGAACTTCCTTTGCCTTGTGCATTTATAAGTGCACTGTGTCCCCTGCCCCTGTCAAACTAGTTTAAACTCCTCCCAACTGCATTAATAAACCCATCTGCAAGGATATTGCTTCCATTTTGGTTCAATGCAGACTACCCTGCTTGTAGAGGTTCCACCTTCCCCAGAAACAGTCTCAGTGATCCAGAAATCTAAAACACTCTCTCCTGCACCAACTTTTGAGGCAACATTCATCTACCCTATTCCCCTATCTCTGTTCTTGCTAGCACATGGCACCAGGAGTAATCAAGGGATTACAACCTTTGAGGTGCTGCTTTTTAATCGACTGTCTACTCCCTGAATTCTTGATGCAAGACCTTATTGTTCATTCTACCTAAATCATTGGTAGCAATGTTGCCTCTGCCTTGTCACCTTTCCCCTTCAGGGATGTCTTACAGCCATTTAAATAATATCCCTGACCTTGGCCCCAGGGAGGCAACACGCTATCATGGAGTTACGTCTGTGGTCACACAAACGCCTGTCTATTCCCCTAACTAATGAATCCCCTTTCCCTATTCTGCCTCCTTTCTTCTTCCTCCCCTCCTGTACATTCAGATCGCTTGTGGTGCCAGAAGCTTGGCTCTATCTGCATTCCCTTGAGGAACCAGCATCATCTTCAGCTTCCAAAATGAAAATCAATTTGTAAGTGGGACCACAAGGGACTCCTGTGATACTTGCCTGTTTCTTTAGGACTGACTGATAGTCACCCATTCCCTTCTTTTCTCCAGTCCCGTGGGGTGCTGTGTGAGCACCTTTCCAAATGTGCTATCTGCATAACTGTCAGCTTCGCAGTTGCGTCAATCTGCAGGCTAACTGTGTACTCTTTTTATGAATACATCCAGGTTCTTCTGAACATCACCATTTCGAAGTTTCATACTTTATAACATATTTTTCTATTTTTCCAGCCAGTGAATAACCTATAGATTTTAAATAGTCAAGGTCCCAGCACTGATCTCCAAGAAACTCTATTAGTTGCAACCAATTACTAGGCTTCATTGACAGCCTGACCCAGTCAGCCTAAGGTTTCATCCATCTGACCCAGTTACAGGGTTAGCAAGTAAAAGCAAAATTTTGCAATGCTGGAACAAACATAGAAAATGTTGGAGCAACTCAGCAGGTCTAGCAGCATCTGTGGAGAGGAAAAAAGCCAATGTTTTGAAGCCAATCTGAAGAAGGGTCATTTTGGTCAAGAAACATTGACTCTGTTTCTCTCTCCACAAATGCTGCTGCATGCTGAGTTTCTCCTGCATTTTCTGTGTTTGTTACAGTGTCAGTGGGTGTACACTTGCTCTGGCTGTACTGATTTAGTGAGCAATTGCAGAATTGCCATAAGTGAAGAGTCAATATGACCTACACTGTCTTGATCATCCACTGAAGCATTGTGGTCGAGAAGAAATTTCACAGCCTCTTCATGTCCAGCCCCAACTGCCCAGTGTAGAGCTGTTTGGTCTATCTGAAAAACAACATAAAGATGATAACAATACATCCTTTGTTGAACAAAAATCAACAAGATTAGAAACTGGCGTATTCACTACGGCACACTCAACTTCACTTCCATCTTCCCACCTTGGCACTGCCCCCTAATCTTCTTTCCCAAAACTAGCATGCCCAAGTCCATACTTATAGGCCACTTTCCCTCAGCAGACAAACCAACTCAGTTTCTTGCACCTAACAACTCTATCAAAACTCCACACTAATCCAAGCCCCTGCTCCTAATTCACTCACCCTGGCTCCTAAATCAAAAGCCTGAAGATCCAATTTACAAAGAGTTACAATTAATTTCAACCACCTCATATGCATGAGGTTGTAGACTTGCTCAACAGGCTGGCGTGTTTGATTTGCAGACGTTTCTTCACCCAACATTGTCAGTGCGCCTCCAGTGAAACATTGGCATCACTTCTGCGTGGCATTCCAACCATAACTCTATCAACAAACACACTGAACTGGACCCAATATACAAACCACTGAAAAACAGAACCGGAAGTGATGCCAACCACCCCAGCAAACCGAGGCATATAAATAACAAGTGGGACAGTACACTAACGTTTCACTGGAGGCACACTGACGATATTACCTAACAGGGTAACGAAACGTCTGCAACCAAACACACCGGCTTGGTGAGCATGTCTACAGCCTCATTCACAACCCGAGCTATAAATCTTCTCAAAAACGTTAAACCTCATATGCATGACAGGTTTTGATTTACATGAATTACAGCTGTCCCCAGTCCAGGGGCAACACTCAGACATCTACGGCAGTGTAAGGGACAAAGTCCCCAGTCCTGAAAGCATATAAAGACCCAAGACCCCAATCCAAGACATTGTCAAGACATAAATAAAAAGAGGAGGGGGACACTATATGGTCTATCAAGACTGTTCCACCATTCAAGATGACCACAGTTGTACTTGGATTTGAATTCCATTTTCACAACTCCGTGTAGATTGCTTCCCGGACAGATCAAGCATCAGTCTACCTTGACTATAGGTGTATATCAAATAATGTATTCAACAATGGTACATCCACAACTCTGAGGTAGAGGATTCCAAAAATTCACAATTTTTTAAGTGAAGAAATTTCACCTCATCCCAAAATCAGAGAGGATGAAGACAAAAACAGGAACACGAGCAGGTCATTCAACATGTCGTGCCTTTTCTGCTAGTCAACACAATAACTTAATTTTTATTTTTCTTTAAATTTCAGGGTGGTCTAATGAAATTGCAAAAACATATGGGGGTAACTTGACAAAACACGTGTCAAGAATGGGGAAATTTTTGGATCCAACTTCCAAACTCTGTTTGTGGATGAAACTCCAGGCTCCAATCTAACGTGCTGAGGTTGTAGACTTGCTCGCCGAGCCGGTGGGTTTGGTTGCAAACATTTCGTCACCCTGCTAGGTAACACTGTCAGTGTGCCTCTGGTGAAGCGTTGATGTTCTGCCCCACTTGTTATTTATATGCCTTTTGCTGGGATGGTTGGTATTACTTCCAGTTTTGTTTCCCAGTGGTTTGTACACAGGGTCTAATTCAATGTGTTTGTTGATAGAGTTCCAATTGGAATACCAGGAATACCTCCAAGAATTCCCTGGCACGTTTCTGTTTGGCTTGTGCCATTATCGATGTGTTGTCATAGTCGAATTTGTGTCCCTCATTGTCTGTGTGTAGTGAGACAAGTAAAAATTGGTTGTGTCTCTTGGTGGCTAGTTGGTGTTCATGTATTCAAATAGTCAATTTTCTTCCGGTTTGGCCTATGTTTCTCACAGTCCTTGCATGGTATTTTGTCATATTACCCCTGTTTTGCTGGTTTTGGGGATGGGATCCTTTACGTTCGTCAGTAGCGGTCGTACGGTGGTTGTCGGTTTGTGGGCTACCCTGATACCTAGGGGTCTGAGTAGTCTTGTGGTCACCTCTGAAATGTCCTTGATGTATGGTAGGGTGATAAGTCATTCTAGTCGTGTTGTGTCTTCCTGTTGTAGTCTGTCTCAGAGGTAATGGCAGATTGTGTTTTTCGGGTATCCATCCTCATTGACAACCCAGGATACAAATCTTCTCGAAAACTTTAACATGTTGAATTTTATTTACTTTGTAGCTCAGCTTTGACAGTTGAACATACTCCAGTTCTTATGGCTCAGTATCATAATTAGTTTCATGAAGCATTTATTATGCAGCTTAGGATGTTTTATTATATTTAAGCTCTTTTATAAAAGAGCTATGTATAAAAGAAGCTGCTATGTATAAAAGAACTTTGACCAATCAGTTTAAATCCTCCTCTAACCTAACACCTCCCTTCTCACTGTCAACAACTTGGTCAATCTTTGCGCCATCTACAAACTTAATTATCATCCCCTCCACATTCTCAACTATGTAATTTATGACTATCACAAACAAGGAAACCAGCAGTGACTCCTGTAGTATGACACTGCATACTGGGCTCCAGTCACGTAAACAAGCTTCTAACACTACCCCTCTCTCCTGCCACTAAAACAATTTTGGATCCAATTTGCCAAGTTATCTTGGATTCCATGAGCTTTTACCGTCTTTCTTAGTTTCCCATGAGGGACTTTGTCAAAGACCACATTTATAAATCACATCAACTGCTCTATCCTCATCCAAATATTTGATTACCTCCCTGAAAAATTCTACTGGATTTGTTAGGCATGACATCACTCTGACAGATCTTTGTTACTTTGCAGACCACCTTTCTCCTTTTCCATTAGAAACTTATAAAGTACAGTGTTATGGTCACTGTCACTAAAATGCTCCTCCATTGTCACCTCGAACACCTGTTAGCAACATTCACAGAATTAGGTCCAGCACTACACTGTCCCTTGTAGGACTATCTACATGTCTATACAAGAAATTCTCCAGTATATATTTCTCGAAATCTGCCCCCTCTAAATTCTTTATATTATGATTATCCCAATTAATATGGGAGTAGTTGAAATCTCCTAATATAATGACCCTATTGTTACTTTTACACACCTTAGTGAATATGGTGGCATATGAAGAGAAAATGAAAGCTTCACAATGGTACCTCTGCATCTGCACCTGCGCACTCTGGCCTTTCACTGCCAATCTCCAGACTTCGTTGCAGTGACCAGCTTTGTGACATTCTAATACAATGTTCCTCACCTGAAAGCACCTGCTCCAGCAACATGGGCACTAAACATACAAGCACACAAGTTGCGCAGGTGGCCACACAGGAACAATGCACAATCACATTTGTCCCTCTGGCAAGTTTGTTCTCTTTCTGTTGTCCCATTCACATTCTGTTCTTTTTTAAATGTTTAAAGTGTTAATGGTTCTATTCTCTTTTCCTGCTGACAAGATAAATCCACCCAAAACTATTGCTAGTTTAAACCCTCATCTAAGGAAAATTTCAGATCATTAAACAGATTTAGTCAGCTTTACCATTCTTCCTGCAGTGAAATGTCTTATCCCAAGGAACTTTCAAACCAGGAACGTTATCTCAGAGTAGAATATATCTACAAATGTACTGTAGCAGAAACAGCTACTTATTTTAGATTTATTGACATCAGTAATCAGAATCTTCCCAAAAGAAGAAGACAGGAAATCCAGCCCCATAATCCACTGCAATAACCAAATTAATTAGCAATATGGTTGATTTGCCTGACCTTGGCCAGAATCTAAGATAGGAGAAACTCACACCAGTTTTCATTAAAAAACAAGAAAATAAACTTGTTATAAACAGACGTATCCTTTAAAAGTATCAAAAATGGATCATTAATAACTAATGTGCAACCCTAACCATACCCTCTTTAAATCCCAACAGACTACGCACACACATTAATGGACCAATGAATGGACATTCAGGGTGGATGGTCACACAGAATTATCGTGGATGGGAAACTTGGACAAAAAGGAAGAAATTCTGTGGATCAAAAGTTCAAATTACCAATGGAGTAAGGTGACTTTCTCAACAGTTCTTTTGGTTTTTGGTGATAATATCACACTGACATCACACAGCAGCAATCTCAATTAGGGTAGCCAGTCAGATGGACCTAGGTTTTTGGTTGAGTTAGAAGTTCTTCTTTTCAGAGTCTTTTAATGCTAGTTTTCCTCCACTCACAGCAGAAAAGACAGACATCTCTCATAGCTGGCAAGCTTACCAGAGGCTTGACAGCAACTGCTTCCTTCTCTCAGTTTTGTGACAAGCCGGAACTTAACTACGAAACCTGTTGCTATACAGTTTTATAACTCAAAGATACCAGGTGCCACTGTGTCTCACAAAAGTATCAAATCCAGTTCTCCAAAAGTTGCATGAATTCGTGCACCACCACAATTCTACATTTTCCTTCAAGTTTTCAAAGAAAAACTAGTTAATTCTTTGTAAAACAGCAGTGTCCAAACTTCCTTTATCCACCTTATATTTAGAAAATAAAAATACATGTAGTACCTATAAATCCTAGCTCAAAAAATTTGGGGAGACGATGGCAAAGTGTTGTTATCATTAGACTACTAATCATAAACTCAGGTTATGTTCTGGGAATCCAAGTTGGATTTCAGCTATGGCAGATGGTGGAATTTGAATTGAATAAACATCTGGAATTAAGAGTCTAATGATGACCATGAAACCACTGTTGACTGTGGACAAACACATCTCATTCACTACGGAAATCTGCCAACCTCACCTGGTTTGGCCTAAATGTGATTCTAGACCCACAATAATGTGGTTTACTCTTAACTGCCCTCTGAAATAGCCTAGCAAGCCACTCACCTGAATCAAGCGCTACAAGGTCTCAACGATGGAATTAGACCATCTGCCATCAACTAACGTCAGGGGACCTGGGTTCGAATTCTGCCACGGTAGATCGTGGAATTTGAATTCAATTAAAAATAACATCAAATAAATCTGGGATTAAGAATTTACTGATTGTTATTGGAAAAACCCATTCAGGGTCCTGCAGGGAAGGAAATCTGTCATCCTCACCTGGTC